GTACATCAGTCTTGTGGTGTGTACTTGGCACATTTTCCTTTCTAAAGCAATACTGCTCTGACAGCACTGTTTTACAGTAATGTTCTGCTTACTAAATAAAAACACGTGGAGTCTGATTTGTAAAATATATTGCACAAATATTGCCATGATTTTGGTAAATGCAGTGACTGTTGAAAGACAAAACTTATGAAGTTTATTTTTGAAGGATTCACAGTTGTAGATTTTGATTTGCTAATTGTGAATGTTGTTTTCTCTGCTTTTCATTACTTAGAGCACACAATAACAATACTACACTTTACCTAGATTGTGTTCCATTTCTTTCCTAAGATACATCATTTACTTTAATATAAAAAGTAGTGAATTTGTTTAATAATTAATGAAAATTTCTTGTATATTTTGACTATAACTCAGAATGATGTTTTCTAGTCACCAAAAAGGGAAAATTCTTTTTGTTTCACAAACATACACACACATACCTACATACATACACACACACTTTAAAAAGTAACCTGCAGAATCATTAAAAGAACTGAAGTGCTATCTGACAAAATCAATGTCCTGGAAAGGAAATAGAGAAGAAGAAGCTAGTCTAGGAAACTGCTCTTGAAAATACTATATGCAAACTCATCAAGAGGTGGAAGAGGGGCATAGAGATACTCCATGTTAGAGTTGTTTTTCTTTTGGCCTGTGTGCAAAATGGAAAGAACTCTTGCATCTTGGTGGTAGATGGGGCTTCCTAGTTACCAGCACTACCAAAGCTAAAGCTGGATGATTACACCTTGGTTATTTATTCTCTCTATGGGCTGGAATGGAAGCCCGTCATTTTCCTGGACCAAGAACAATATAGTTGAGCATAGCATTTCTTTCTTTTTTTTTTCAGCATTGTGCCCATTTTATTATATTTTATTTTATTCATTTATTCATATGTGCATACATTGTTTGTGCCATTTCTCCTCCCTACCCCCGACCCCTCCCTCTGACATGAGCAAAATGTGCGCCTTGAGTTATCTCTCCAGTAATGCTGACAGATTTGCATTGATTTGTCTTTATCCTCTTGTTTCTGCCGTGTAAAACAAGGCAGAAACATGTTATAAATTTAGGAAGAGGTTGAAGATACAAGAGCCTGCTGTCATTCTCAAGTAGAAAAAGGTTCACACTGCAAACAGTGATAGTACTGGTCCCCCTGGAATTCCCAAAACCTTGTTCTGACAAACGATGTCAAGTGGACAAGGGCCTTGGGAAGCAAAACTTAAGTTCAATTGAAACACAGGGTTGATCATTGATCATAAATATATCTTACAGCAATTGACCCTATCACTCTCTCTGGTGACAATGCTGGGCAAAGCAATGCCATACCAAAGCAAATGCTTTTCTGTTCCAATTTTGGAAATGAATTTAAGCCCAATTCTAGTTTTATAAAATTATCAAAGGCAGGGATAGTACCTCTTTTTTATTTGTTAATAATAGCTTGCTTAGTGCTATTCTAAAGCAAGTACTTAAGATGTACATTTTGTTAAATTTTCAAGGTGTTTTGCCTCTTTCAGACCTTAACATCTTCTTTCTATTCTCGATTTCCCAATATCTACTTATGGTATGATATATATGCTGCTGAAAATGACCTTCTTTTCTTTATTTTATCTATATATGGAAAAAGAGTGACTCATTCTTATTTCTGTTTCTTCAATTGATACTTGAAAAATAAGATTAGGAAATAATTATGTCTTTAGCAGTAGAACATTAAAAACTCTTATGAATTACTTCCAGATGTATGAAGATATTGAGGTGAAAATTATAAGATAGTCTTGTCTCCTAAACATTAAAACAAGATTATCTTATTCTTGAACATAATAAACCAAGATAAATAAAATGAAATTAATATAGTAAATAGGTTTTAATTATAATTAATGTGACTATTAAAGTATATTTCCATGTAATATAAATGGAATGGTAGTAAACTTTTGCATTTTGTTTATGTATCTATAAGTAATTAGATATGACATAAAATCTGAATATCAGAGAATAACTCATTTCTCAGGTAAGTTCATTGAGTGTTTTCTTTTTTGTGTTCTCTATAGTTTATGATGGGA